TTTAGAGAATATTTAATCCAACTGCTACAGAATACACATTCTTCTCATCAGCACATGAAATGTTCTCCAGGATAGGCCATATGTTAGGCCACAGAAAAAAAACTAACAAATTTCAAAATGTTGATATCATATCAAGTGCCTTTTCTGCCACAATGGAATAAAACTAGAAATCAATAACAAGAGGAATCTTGGAAATTATACAAACACATGTAAGTTAAGCAACATTCCTGAAGGATCATTGGTCAATGAAGAAATTAACAGAGAAGTTTAAAAATTTCTTAAAACAAATGAAAATGGAAACACAACATATCAAAATCTACAGCTAAGGGAGCTCTAAGAGGCAGGTTTATAGCAATAGATGCCTATACAAAAAATGTAGTCATATTTCAAATATTTCAACCTAATAATGCAGCTCAAGAAATTAGAAAAGCAGAAACAAACCAAATCTAAAATTAGTAAAAGGAAGGAAGTAACAAATATCAAAATTGAGAATTTAAAAAATATAAAAGATTAACAAAACAATAAGTTATTCTTTTGAAAAGATAAAATCAACAAAATTTTATCTAGAGTAAGGAAAAAAGAAGACTCAAATAAATATAATCAAAAACAAAAACAGAGACATAACAAATGATAGTATGTAAATATAAAGGATCGTTAGAGACTGTTATGAACAAATTACAGCAAAAAATGAAGAAAACCTAGGGGAAGTGAATACATTCCTGGATACATATAACATACCAAGAAGAATCAAGAAAAAATAGAAAACCTAAACAGATCAACAACAAGTAATAAGATCAAAGCAGTACTAAAAAGTCTCCCATCAAAGAAAGCCTAGGGCCTGAGAGCTTCACTACTAAATTCCACCAAACATGTAAAGAAGTACTATCAATTCTATTCAAACTATTTCAGAAAATAAAAAAGAACAGAATACTTCCAAACTCTTTCTACAAAGATAACATTACTCTTATACGAAAACCAGTTAAGAGTACAACAAGAACAACAAAAACCTACAGGCTAATACCCCTAGTGAACACAGGAGCAAAAAATCCTCAACAAAGTACTAGCAAATGAAAATACAACAACACATAAAAAAGATCATTCACCATGACTAAATGGGATCCACTCCAGGGATGCAAGGATAGGTCAACATATGCAAATTAATAAATATGACATATTACATTAACAAAATCAAAGACAAAAACCATATGATCATTTCAATAGATGCTGAAAAAGCATTAGACAAAATTCTACATCTTTTCATGATAAAAGCTCTCAACACAAGAAGCTTAAAGGAACATACCTCAAAATGAAGGCCAAAATAAAGGCTGTGGGTTTGTTATATATTGTTTCTTTCCTTTAATATCTGGAACAAGACTTCCGCCGCTTTTATTCAATGTAGTACTCAAAGTCCTGACCAGAGCAATTAGGCAAGAGAAAGAAATAATGGGCATCCACATTGGAAAGGAAGATTCAAATTATCCTTGTTCACAGATGACATGTTATGATATTTAGGAAAAGCTAAAGATGTCATCAAAAAACTGTTAGAACTGCTAAATGAATTCAGTTAAGTTGAAAACACAAAATCAACGTACAAAGATCAGTAGCACTGACATATACCAACAACAAACTGAAAAGGAAATCAAGAATGCAATCAAATTTACAATAGCTACAGAAATATAAAATAATTAGAAATAAATTTACCTCAAGAAGTAAAAGATGTTTACAAAAAACTATGAAGTATTAATGAAATAAATGGAAGAGGAAATTAAAAAATGGAAAGATATTTATGCTCATAAATTGGAAGAATTAATGTTGTTAAAATGTCAATACTATCCAAAGCTATCTACAATTTCAATGTGATTCTTATTCAAAATATCAATGACATTCTTCACAGAAAAAGACAGAAATATCTGAAAGTATCTATAGTGCCATAAAAGACCTCAAATAGCCAGGGCAATCCTTAGCAAAAATAACAAGGCAGGGGACATCAAAATATACCTGTCTTCAAATTGTAGTACAATATTACAGTAACCAAACAGCATGGCACTGGCATAAAAACAGACACATAGACCAATGGAACAGAATAGAGAATCCAAAAATAAATCCACATGTTCACAGCCAACTCATTTTCAACAAAGATGCCAAGAAAACCCATTGGAAAAGGAACAGTGTCTTCAATAAATGCTGCTGGAAAGACTGGATAATCATATGCAGAAAAGTGAAGCTAGACCCCTACCTCTCACTATATATATTAACACAAACACAAAAATTGATGGAACGCTTAAATTTAAGCCTTGAAACTATGAAACTTCTAGAAGAAAGCATTGGGAAAATATTTCAGGACACTGGTGTGGGCAAAGACTTTTTGGGTAAGAATTCAAAAGCATAGCCAACAAAAACAAAAATAAGCAAACAGGATTACATCAAGCTAAAAAGCCAATGCACCACAAAGAAGACTGAATGGGACTTACTTTCCTGTCCCTTTGTATGCCTTATAATTTTTTTGGAAAACTGGTCATTTAAATGTTAAATTGTGGCAACTCCAGGAGTCTGAGTCTGCTTTCTCCTTAAGATTTGTTGCTACTTACTATGGATTGTAGTTGTGTCTTTGTGTAGTGACTTTTCTAAACTATTTCTGTGAAGAGTGTGTTACTTGTCAATGTGGTGAAAGTCACTAAACAACTGTGACAACAACACCCTTCCACAACTAGCCCACTCGGTGTGTGTATTGGGGCACACCTTCAATGTGTAGGCCACTCACACCTTGGTCCTGGTCATGGATTTTTGCTTGCACTGAGGTTGAAAGTCAGGCACAGAGGCAAGCTTGGGGCCACCTGAGGTCTTTCTTGACCTGTCTCTTGTTTTTGAAAAGACCAAAGGCACATCTATGAGCTACAACTGTGTCAACTTGCACCATTATTTTTGTTGTCATTATGTCGTTTTCCAATCTCGGATTTTAGGGAACCCACGAGAAGGTTTCATTCCTGTGTAACTGATGCAGTAGTAAGGAATCCTGTAGTGCTGGCTTCTGCTTCACAATTATAAGCAAGACTTTGCCAAGTGAAAAAGAAAGTGTGAATCTTGTGTTATGCATCCCTTGACTTGTGAGTTGTGTTTGATTGAAAATCTTTCTCATGTGAAAATCTTTCACAACCCAGTAGAGCTCACAAATAATTTTCCAAATAGTTGTGTGGTTGAGCTGTTTGTTTGCCACAGTTAAATAAATATGAGAAGAATGGGTCAGCTGGGTGTGATCCAGACCAGTGACATTCAACAACGCAATAGGGGCCAACATAGTGACTCACGCCTGTAATCCCAGCACATTACGAGGCTGAGGTGGGAGGATCACTTGAAGTCAGGAGAGTTTGAGACCAGCTTGGGCTACATGGCGAAACCCCATCTCTATTAAAAATACAAGCAATTAGCCAGGTGTGGTGGAACGCACCTGTAATCTCAGCTACTCGAGAGGCTGAGGCAGGAGAATCTCTTGAACCCGGGAGGCAGAGGTTGCAGCAGTGAGCCAAGATCACACCACCGCACTCAAGTCTGGGCAACAGAGTGAGACTCCAAAATAAATAAATAAATAAAAAATAAAAATAAAAATAAAAAACGCAGTAGAGCCAGATTTCACCTGTGATCATTGCTAATCAGGACACAGGTTTCACCTACTCTGTGTCACCCGCTTCCTGGAGTCAAGGCAGAGGATTAAGATGCAGGTGGCATATGGCTTCTGGACAGCAGCTCCCCACCCACTAGCTACTATGTTCTGTGTGTGATGAGTGGGGTCTCCTGTGAGGAGACACTCAAGACCACCCCGGTGTTGGATCAGGCAGCATGACTCTCTTCACCTGCAGCTTTCTTGACCTGGCCAGTGCTGTGCTAGTGTGGACAGATGCAGTGATGCTCTTCCAGGGCCTGGTCCTGCTATGCTCTGGGAACATGGTTTGGGACACAGTCAGAGCAGGTTTTGTAGAATCAGTCTCCCTGACTTGGGACTGAACTTTCTATTCTGTTATCTGGCAACAATGCGAGGTTCTTGCCTATATCGCGCAGCCATAGTCTTCTCAGTCAAACTCAAAGCTCTCACTTTTGCATACTTCACCTGTCCTGCACTATTTAATGTTCATTCTCACAGCCACAAAATATTATTTCCTCTTTCAGATTAGTTATTGCCAGGGAAGTGATTAAAAGTGACCACCTAGTATCACCCAAGTGCTGGCGAAATATCTCACTCTAGAACACCAAGAAGGATAATCGGATGGAGACAAAAATGATCAAGGGGCAGAAGAATGGTCCAACCTCTATCTCATTGAGACAGAAACATGTGATCTCCCAGGGAAGTGTTTAAAAATTTGGTCTAGAATGGTATTCCAGTCTGATAAGACATGAGTATGTGTGGTGGGGCTGCAGATGCAGGGCGGTGGGCCCTGTAGAAACCTTGGCTCTGGCTCAGCTGGAACCAGGGCTGACAAGGCTGAGAAATGCAAGCAGGGCTGGGCTGGGCATGACCAGGCTGGGGCCTCAGGACTTGGAGCTCTGTCTTTTCTGCCCTTTTCTCACAATACTCATTGTCCCAGGTCAAAATGGTTGACAAAAATTGCCTTTTTTTTTTCCTTTCATTTTTTCCCTTGGTTCGCAGAGTACAACTGCTGAGGTATTATACAACAAAAGAACAAACTGATATCTTAGTTATTTTTCTGAACAATGGAGATCCTCTCTTTGGGTGAAGGAGGGGAGAGTGAGAACCCAGATGTCCCCAGGTCTTATCTCAGTTCGCTGTGGGAGGCGAAGACAGAATCGTCCAAGGACACCAGTCTCCTGAGGACACCCAGAACCTGTGGGTTCTGAAGAAGCAGCTTTCAAAGCTAGTGGCAGAGGGTAGCTCCTCTCCTGCCTGTGGCTTGCACTGGCCTTGAGAGTATAGGGCAGAAGGATGGCAGATGAGTGACTCCGCATCCAGAGCTGCCTCCCTTTAATCCAGGATCCTGCCCTTCCTGTCCTGTAGGAGTGCCTGTTGGTCGCCAGTGTGGGGTGAGACAAGTTCGTCCCACAGGGCTGTCTGAGCAGATAAGATTAAGGCCTGGGAAAAGCAAAGGCAGGGGTGCTTACAGTCAGCACCATGCTGGGCCTGCCGTGGAGGGGAGCTCTGCCTTGGGTACTGCTGCTGCTTCTCTTAGGCTTCCAGCTCCTGCTGATCCATGCCTGGCATTTCCACGAGCAAAGGGACTGTGACGAATACAATGTCATGGCTCGTTACCTCCCTGCCACAGTGGAGTTTGCTGTGCACACATTCAACCAACAGAACAAGGACCATTATGCCTACAGACTGGTGCACATCTTGAATTCCTGGAAGGAGCAGGTTGGTGACCACATACCCTCCTCCCCTGGCATCTGGTATATGCTGCTCAGTGAAAAATGGGAGTGGGGTGGGAGCAGAGGGTCTTATTGAAGAGTGTCGTTCACCAATTGTAGTCCATACTTAAGAAAATACAAGGTAGTTTAGTTAATTTTTGATTTTGAAAACATCTAAGTTAGAAATTTTTAATAATTTGATGCTAATCGACTCTCACGCAAAACATATTGTTTAATCTTCATCTTTTTATGACATTATTTAACTGAAGAATGACTCCAAAATGAGGACTACCAAGACAATGAAGATACAGAATATGGAAAAGGGCTGAACAGGAAATGTGAATAGAGAGAAATTTGAGAAATATTTCCAAAAAATGTAATAAAAAGGAGACAATTTAAAAAATAAAAATTTAAAAAAAGAACAGTAAGAGTTCAGGAGCTATTGCTAATTAGAAACCCCTACCAGTCCCGAAAGACCTCTGGGTGGTCAGTTCCTCTTTGCTGATTTCCACCATCTCTGGGCTCCTTGGTGTGTCTGCACTTAATAAACTGAAGGTTGTTTTACACTCTTCCTCAGACCACAGGTCTTAATCTTAAATGTTCTCCTTTTAATGAAGTCACTACGGAATGCAATCAGGAATGCACTGTTCATCTGTGCTGCAGGCATGAACAATGAAAATAGTCACCAAGAAGAGGACTTTTTTTTTTTTTTTTTTTTTTTTTTTTGAGATGGAGTCTAGCCCTGTCGCTAGGGCTGGAGTGCAGTGGCGCCATCTCTGCTCACTGCAAGATCCGCCTCCCGGGTTCAAGTGATTCTCCTGCCTCAGCCTCCTGAATAGCTGGGATTACAGGCACCCTCTACATGCCCGGCTAATTTTTTGTATTTTTAGTAGAGACAGGGTTTCACTATGCTGGTCAGGCTGGTCTTGAATTCCTGACCTCATCATCCACCCGCCTCGGCCTCCCAAAGTGCTGGGATTACAGGCATGAGCCACCGTGCCCAGCTAAGTAGAGGGCTTCTAGTTGGGTGGAGAGGCAAAAATGCTCTTTCTCCCTCATTATTGAAACGCTGCAAGAAGAGCAAAAGGACCCCAACCCTGCACTGAGCTTAAGCCTCTGGAAAGACCCTGTGCAAGGCCCTGGCTGATTCTCTGACCCCTGCTCTCTGGGCTGGAGTCTGCCACATGGGTTCTTGGATGTGACAATTCTAGAGTCAGTTTTGGAGTTGGGGAAATGGACAGACAGAGAGAAAGGAGATTGAATGAAGTGAAACTGAATGGAGTGAGAAGAAGAGCAAGGTGCACTTTGCAATAGGGCAGATGGTGTCTCCTTTCCTTCTTCTCTTCTCTTCTCTCTTTTTTCTTTTCTTTTCTTTTTTCTTTTCTTTCTGAGATGGAGTCTCACACTGTCGACCAGGCTGGAGTGCAATTGTGCGATCGCAGCTCACTGCAACCTCTGCCTCCCGAGTTCAAAGGATTCTCCTGCCTCAGCCTCCCTCCTGAGTAGCTGGGATTACAGGCACCTGCTACCATGCCCAGTTAACTTTTGTATTTTTAGTAGAGATGGGGTTTCACCATGTTTGCCAGGCTGGTCACGAACTCCTGACCTCGTGATCCACCCGCCCCAGCTTCCAAAAGTGTTGAGATTACAGGTGTGAGCCACCATGCCCAATCCCAGATGGTGTTTCTTGAAGCCATTTTCTCAAGGATGTGTGCCTGTGTGTAGTGGGAGTGCTGGGTGGCATTCCTGCTTTTTTTTTTTTTTTTTTTTTTTTTCCTGGAGGTCAGGGAAGGTTTGATAACACACTGTAGATGAGGCTCCCTCTGTCCCAGGGCTGAGGTAACCCTGAAAGCTCTTGGAGAGCCAACACCCTCACCAGGGACATAGCACCATCCTCTGGAAATGCAGCTGCAGGTTCAGACACTGACTGAGAGTGAAGCTGGGGTCTCACAATGGGAGACTGGGAAGTGCATCAGTAAACAGGGATACATTCATGGATTACGACTCAGCCTATGTCTGCCCTGGGGCCACCATGCCCATCCGCTTTTTGCTCTTAACTCCCCAATCTAAGGAAGATCTCCTGACGCCAGGCCCATGGATGAGCTCCCTGATGGAGAAGAGTGTTGGGACTTCTCCCACACAAATGACATCTTCACCAGCAGCTACTTAGGGGCAACAAGGAGGGCGCGATCACATTAATCTCTCTGTGTGCAATAGGTGGAGTCCAAGACCGTACTCTCAATGGAGCTACTGCTGGGGAGAACCAGGTGTGGGAAGTTTGAAGATGACATTGACAACTGCCCTTTTCAAGAGAGCCCAGAGCTGAACGATGTAAGAAAAGACAACAGCTTCCCTCCTGGGCACTGCTGTGGATGCCATATGGGGTGTGGTGTGGGCACGGGTGCAGCTGACAAAGAGACTTAGAGGAGTGAGCCCATAGCAGCCTCTACCAGGTGGCCTGGCTTGTGCCTTAGTGGGGAGCGCAGAGGGGCAGGCAGCCAGGGATCCACTTGCAGGCTCCTGGCCAATCTGAGTTTCTCAACTCTGCCCTGTCACGCCACTGCAGCTGCCTACATCCAGGGCACATTGGCCTTCAGACTGTTCTTTCCCTCTGGGGTCCCAGTCTCTTGGGTCCAGTAAGAAGCTGTCTCCTCTCTGCTCTTCCTCCCCTGCCTTCTGGAAGAACCTGGGATCTGACATCACCACTGTCTGTGGATGCAGTTCTCAGGGTGTCCCTACCCTCCCCTAGACCCAAAAGTCATGGAGGCTGAGAAGGAGCCCCAATACCCTCCTCCCAGGCCCTGGCCAGGGCCCTTCTGAGCTGCAGCAACTGCTCTAGGGGACAAGTTCCAAGTAAAGCCTGGCTCTGGGAAAACTCTTCCTATGCTTAATCAACTCCTTTACTGTAATATTAACAAATAGGTAGCTAATTGCTTAAATTTGGGAACTGCTTCCACTGGGACAACACATTCTCCTCCTGCTCTTGGGTGCAGAGATCACACCAGGACAGCCCGGGGTTCCCCTGAGGGCCACTGCTAGGGAGTGGGACACATAGCACGACTGCCCCTGGGTCAGAAGAGAGCTGCAGTTCAGCTCAAACCTCCAGAACAGCCCAGGACTCAGGCCTGGGGGCAGCACCTGATGGCCAGAGCCCCTGTCTTCCCACTGCTTGACCTGGGAAAGGGCAATGTGGAGAGGAAGCCATTGTTCAGAGCTTGAGCCAAGAGCTTCCTGAGCCTCCCTGACCCATTGTCCCCCCTGTGCTTGTTCTCTCAGACTTTCACCTGCTTCTTCACCATCAGCACCAGGCCATGGAGGACATACTTCAGCCTCCTGAACAAGACCTGCTTGGAGGGATTCCACTAAGTGAAACCTACTCACAGGCCTGGCCATGTGCTGTTCCCACATGCCATGGACATCAGCACTTCTCTCCTGACGACTCTTCAGTGGCTGAGCAGCTTTGTACTTGTTTGTTATCTTATTTTGCATGTGTTTGAGATCTTAGACCAGCGTTTTAGAAAATCCA